TGAGATCTAGAAGAAGGAAAGGTCAGGTTGCCACCCTGGCCGTGTGGACTCTGTGTTCTGATGTGCTCCTACCCCCATACTGGAGATATATCCTATGAGAAAGTGACGTATGGGCCACGGGCAGCTGGCAGATGACTTGGGATTCCTCTGCATTTCAAGGATGGGGGGTCCTGACCCCGCTGGGATAGACTGATCTAGGCATAGAATTGAAAAAGATTTTTCCCCTGGGATTTTTGTCATTTGTATAGTTGGGTATGAGTGATGGGTTAAAGGTATTTTACTTACGTGTGACTTTGGACTTTCTGTTCAAATAGATAAGTTGTGTGGAAGAAGAATCTTGGCAGATCCTTGTTGGAAATGTGTGTTAAGGAGACTTGGACAGAATGGAGGTTTATGCTGAGGTGAGATCAAAGAAGATTAAATAAAGTGAAAGCGCTTAGGTTTTGAGCTCTGTTCTTTTGATTCCCATTTTTAACTTTAGGACAGAGCTTCCTGGCTTGGTGCTGAGGAAGGTTAAGTGTGGAGGGTCTCAGGCCTTGGTGTTCTTTGGAATTACCTTGTGAAAAACACAACTATGCACTGGCCTGACCTAAGAGCCTGGGCTCCAGGCATGAAAACTTCTGCAGGTGCAGCACACACTCCCATTGAGCAGAGTTCTGCTGGAATGGCTTGTTCAGCAAACATCTTACCTATGCTGTGTCTGCTTCCTGGTTTCAAGAGAGGTTGATAATTCTTGCCTTTTCTGCCAGAGAGGGCTGGTAAGAGGATAAAAGAGTAAGAGCACTTGAAGTCATGAAGTCCCAGTGAGGGCAACACAGAATCTAGCCAGAGCCTTGCACATGTGGATCAGTAAAGTGAAAAGAGATGCTGTAAGGTAGGCTTCTTGAGGTGTTGGAGAAAACAATGGAGAGGAGACTAGAGGGAGGTATTTTTAGGGAGACACGGAGAGGAAGGGAGCAATGATTGTCAATTTCCTTCCACCCATCTCCCTGTAAACAGTGTGGCAGACAGATTCAAGGAGGGCAGGAAGTACAAAGTTAGTCTGGCTAACCCCAGACTGTTTAATCTTCTCTTTCTGCAGAACTCTAGCAGGTAAAATACCTGGGGTGTTGAAAGAACTCTAGACCGAGGGCCACTGATGTGGGCTCTGTCTCAATCTGATGCTGGCCTCTGGCAAGCCTTTTAAGCTCACCTTCCTAGCCAGACTTCTTTCCCAGTTGGACTCCCTGGCCCTTGGCATTCCACAACACTCTGAGTTCATGGCAAGTGCTGTGGAACGAGGGAGGAGCTGAGGAAACAAATTCAGGGTGCTTGGTCGTTGGTGAGGAGAGAAAAGAGGAACTGCTGGGACTGTGGGCTGGTGGGAGAGCTGAAAGCCTGGCTCCCAAAGAGGGAGCTGGTGCAGAGATGGCACCTGGAGAGAAGCAGGACTGGCTTGTGTAGTGCTCTGCTTGGGTGCTTGGGGCTGGGGCCCAGCCTATCAGGAATTCAGGCCTTTCTGGGGGTCTATTCATGTGCCCTGATGTCAACATACAGGCCTGTCCGGGGCTGGGGTGGCTGTGTTGGCAACAGCATATACAGTATGGTACTTCATGTCCTGCGATGGACCCAGACTCATTTCACCACATCTCAACCCACTTGGGATTTTCTGTGCCCTCCCACACCTCCTAATCCAGCTGCCAATAGGGTTTCAGCAAGATGCTAAGGAGGCCAGGGAGGGAAAGAAGGATATCAGCCTTTGATGTGAGGGAATTGAGCTGAGCATATCGGGAGGCTCCCTGCGCATCGGACATGCCTCCCAGGACAGACTCGGGTCCAGTGGCACAGCTGCTTCCTGAAGTCAAGCTCTGGGGGCCCAATAGGACAGCTGGTTTCATTGAGAGACTTTCTGTCAGAAGTTATTTTTATCCTGGGAAGGAAGGTCAATAGGGCTTGAAGCCATCACCCTTAGTCTTTGTCACCCTGAATCATTTAGCAGAAGGTTAGAGGCAGCTTGGCTTTAAGGTATAAAAACCAGGAGGTGGTATGGATGTAATTGTGTATACACACATGTACATGCTGGACTTTTTGTTCAGGGCCCAAGAATGGAAATATACAGCAGTGTGAAAGTTGTGGTAAACCCCTAACATGTGGGGTCCTCATCCCCTTTGGAGCTATGCAGGCCTCTAACTCCTACAAGGGGCAGAGTGTCTTTTGAGAATATCTGAAATGTTACAGGACACCAAATCTAGAGTCCATTCAACTCAGTATCATCATCACCACAACCATCATAAATATCACCATGGTTGTCATCATCATCAACACCAGCATCACCATTATTTCTACCAATTGCCACCATCACCATGGTCATCATTGTCATCATCATCAGTCATCATCATCTTCATCGTCATATCATCACCCTCATCAAGCAACAGGGGCCTGTGGAAATGGATAAGTTACCCAGAGATAAAGCCTCAACCACTGCTGTTCCAAGGGCAAATGCCAGGTCCAAGGAGACCCACCCCAACTTGGGAGTCTGTAAGGGGCATTCTCACAATGGGGCTTCTGGGAACAGAAGCCTTGGAGTCAGGGTTATTTGGCTTGACAGTTGCAGTGATTTGCAACTTGGCATGTTAGAATTACTGAAGAAGTCTTTTAAGTCCTGTGCTGGGACTATACCCTGGACTATTTAAATCAGAACCATTGTGGAAAGGGAGGAACCATGGGAACAAAAGCCAGGTGACTCCACCATACAGTTAGTGCTGAGAGCCACAGGTAGATAGGCAGTTTTATGAGTAGTATAGACTAGCACCTCTCAAACTACTATGTAAATCAGTCACTTGGGTGTTTTGTTAAATGCAGATTCCAATCAGGGAGTCCTGGCTGGAGCCTGAGACCTGCATCTCCAGCAACTCCCAGGCAATGCTGAGGCAGTGGCTTTGAACCATGATTTGAGTAGCAAAAGCCCGGCTTGGAGTTTGGGCCATCTCCTTTGCAGCCCTGAAGTCAAATGGCCTAAGCTAGTTACTAGCAACATGATCTTGGTAAGGTCTTCAATGCTTCTCGTTCAGTCTTCTCACATGTAAAACAGAGCTACAACTAATACTTGTTTTCTAGGAGCAAGTAAGGTTAAGCAAATTCAGTGAGTTTGAGTAAATTCAGTGAGATTAAGTTAATGTTTTCTATTGCCTGGCACTGTGAGTATTTATATAAATATGTCATATATATATCATATGTTTTATAGATATGTCTTGTTGCTTAGGGGACTTGGGTTAAACCAAGTTCCTGCCATGAATTCTTCTCCAGGGCCAAGAGTTGGGGTGCTAGAGGTGAAGGAATCAGGGCTTAGGCTATTTAGGTGCTAATGAAAGAACATTTAAATAAGTGACATCCAGCTCCCTATCCTGCCCCACCACACACAACCAAGGAACCAGGAATTCTTGCTGGTTACTCACATGTAACCACAGACCTCTTCTAGCACTTTCTGTGGGCCAGGCAGTGGCTCATGGGCCCTGGGAACACCAAATTAAGACATGATTCCTGGCATCCGGGGGCCAGGAACATGATTCTGGACTTCAGGCAGGGTCTGAGGTCCTCATGGGAAGGAGTTCCCTGTGCCCTCTGAACACTCATGGACCAGGAGTTGTCAGTTCTGGGTTCTGGTCATCTCTTAGCCACCTCGGGGCTGGGGCAGACTAAAGACCGTCACTGATTTGGTTCTAAAATCTGCCTGGCAGTAATGAGGGAGGTTAAAGGCAGTCATGTGTATTAAAGTGCTTGGGAAAAGTTTTATACATTAATATACAGGGCTCCTTTAAATAAAGGCCCCAAAACCTCCCATCCTTCTGAAGTTGACACAGGTTGGCCTTCTGTGGGGACAGATGAAAAAATGTCTGTTCCTAATCCCCGGAAGCTGCCCCAGCTTTCTGAGAACTGGTAAGGCAACTTCCCCAAGGCAGAAGGGCTTTTCTTCATGGAGGCAGAGTTGGGAGCACCAGGGTTGTCCTGAGAGAGAGTACCGTACCCACTAGAGAGGTAGAGAAAGAAGCCCTGAGAGTCAAGGGAACTGGGGCTTTGTCTATCTCAGCCATACCACAATGGGGCACCTGTGTCCTCTGACGGCAGGCTTCCTCATTAAACAGATCCTAGCCTGGGCAGGATAGGCCCAACCCTTAATTCTCAACCCTTTCCCAAAGATATTAAACTTAACCCTTGGCAGTGGTCTCTGACACAAGGCTTCTGTCTGCTATCTCCCGCTCTGCTTTTCCTGTGCCCTCTGTTCTCTGGATAAAACTATAGGCCCTTAGAAGGGGATCCCCTCAGAATGGGTTGGCTGAGGCCACTGGGAAGCCGAGGCCCTGCCCATTTTGGATATCTCCTCCTCAGGCCCTGTCCCTGAGGTAGTGAGGCCAGCAAATGCCTGCCCTTAAGGGGACAGGGTTAGATGTGTGACTTAATAAGGTTGAGAGCCACAAGTAATCCCCTGAGTACTTTGCCTTGTAACCTAAGATTATCTGGCCTGCAAACAACTGTTTTCACCCCTTTGCTGATAGCAGTATAAAAAGCATGCTGGTTAATGACTCTAGGAACTGACTAGGGGTAGAATGTACAAGCATTTGTCCTATCTTGGAAGTATCTCCTCATGATCCAGGCTGCACGTGCCTGTCAGCAAGGTTGAGGAAGGACTGGGAGGGCTTATCCAAGTTTCCATCCATACTCAGTCATCAGGACTGAGTGGGAAGACTTGAAGGTCAGGGTCAGGGTATTGGGACTCTCAGGCTAGTGCAGCTGCTTACTTCTTTAGTGATGGACAGCAGGCCGAGCCTTTAACTCCCTGATCTGTGGTCCCCATATCCTGGGAGGGAGGCAGGTGGTCATGAAGAGCCAGGGTTGGAGATATAACACTACACACTAAACACACACCACCCTCCCAGGAAAGGAAGCTAGACTAATGTAGACTCTTGAAAAGCAGAGCAAAGTGCCAACCCTGTGAACTGACCAATCATGTTCTAATCATTTAGAACTGCAAGTCCCTGCTTCGGGTGGCACAGAAGATGTTGGCAATTTGTTGGAGAATCATTTCTCTGCTGGAGATGCAAGTCTAGAGGAGAAAGAAAGGGCGGTTTATGCAGATGCGGCCCCTGGAGACAAGAATCTGCTCCTTCACTACCCAGACAGCAGGGAGGCTGAGAGCTTGGAGCAGACCACCGCTGGGGTCCCTCCTGCTGCCACCGGCCTGGGCTCTGAGTCTGAAGCCAGCCTCTCCAATGCCTCAGCTACAGAGTCAGCTCCATCTGGGGGTGCTGCAGAGCCTGGGGAGGGAGAGGAGGTCTCACCAGCAGCAGGTGCCCTTCTTCCAGGAGGGGACAAGGGGCCCATGGAAGAAGGGAGGCCAGAGCTCAGTTCCAGAGAGGAACCAGGAGAGGAGGAGGCTGAGATGGAGCTCTCTATGAAGGGGGCTGCCAGTGGGGAGGCAGAAGTACAGGTGGAGAATAGTGAGGGGGAAGTCAAGGTTGTTGTAGGAGACAGCCTTGTACAGGCAGCAGCAGCCATAGCAGAGCCTGAAACCATAGGAGCCTCTCCTAGTTTAGAGGGTGAAGAGGTCCATGCCCCAGAGGTGGAAGGTAAGGACAGCTCAGGACCTGATCACCAGCCAGCAGAGCTAGATGGAATCCAGGATGCTGGCAGAGTATCTGCAGAAGAGTCAGAGACTGCCAGTGATGCAGAAGCTGGGAAGGTAGCTGAGGACCAGTCCCAGTCCCAGGCCCACACCCCAGAGACAGAAGACAAAGGCAGCCCAGAGTCTAATCACCAGCACTCAGAGCTAGATGGAACCCCTGAGGCCATGTCTGCAGGAGTAGAGTCAGAGGCTGAGATAGATACAGAAACCGAGGAGAGGGCTGAGGACCAAGGGGAGTCCAGCCCCAGCCAGGAGGCTGGCCTATCCCCAGAAGCCAGTGAAGAGTCTGGGGGTACACAGAGCTCTGGGGCTAAGGAGACTGAGGAGGAGAACCCATCCAAGGGCCAGGTGCCAGGGATGCCTGAGGAGGACCCGGATGACACCTCCTCCTCTGAAGAGGAGGGTGAAGAAGGCGAAAGTGAGGAGGAAGAAGGAGTTCTAGATAAAGAAGAGTCTGGAGAAGACAGCGGTGATGGGGCTAGCTCAGAAGAAGAAGAGGGTACTCCTGAGGAGGCTGGGGAGCCCCAGGAAGCATCAAGAACCACAGGCCCTAGGGAGAAAGGGGCCCAGCTCAGCACAGAGGATTTGAATACAAGGTCCAGGGATGGCAAGGCCCAGGACACTGAGGCAGAGGAGCCTGAAGAGGGACATCAGGGGACGGGGAATCCTGTAATTGCTGCTCAGGGTAGGATTTAATTCCTTAGGGCAGATGCATTCTTTGTGGAAGTCTTACATGTAGAGTGGCAGGCAGGGATGGCATGGGTAGGAGAGCCTCTACCTAGGCCTGGGTTTGTCAGATGGGTCTCCATCCCAGGTACTGGCCCAGGGAGGTACCTTTGGATGATTTCTCACCCACTTACCTCCAGTGTGGAGGAACTGAGTGAGAGGATCCAGAGGGAGTCAGGCCCTCAGAAAGCTCCTTCTAGAGTTGCCAGGCGTACTTTAATGTGGAACAGTACCTTAAGGATGAGGACTGATGGCAGGTTCAGGCGCTGGGATCAGCTAGTGGAGGAGGTGCAGGCAGTTGGTGGGTGGGTTGGGAACCATCAGGTGCTTACCTTGTGCACCAAAACTTGGGTCTCCCCTTGAAGACCTCCCATAGGAGGTGTGGGGAACAGGAACCAAGGGATCAGGATTTAGGTATCTGAGAACTGAGGCTGACTGTGACTACTGCTGTCTCTCAAACATCCACCTAGAGCAGCTGTCAAAGGGATGGAGAGCCGGGCGCCAGTGGCTCACGCCTGTAATCCTAGTTGCTCAGGAGGCAGAGATCAGGAGGATCATGATTTGAAGCCAGCCCGGGAAAATAGTTTGTGAGACCCTATCTTGAAAAAATCCTTCACAAAAAAGGGCTGGTGGAGCGGCTCAAGAGGTAGGCCCTGAGTTCAAGCCCCAGTACTGCAAGATAAATAAAATAAAGTAAAATAAAATAAAATAAAAAAGGGATGGGGAGTGGTGAGGGTAGGGGAGAGGGCAGGGTAATGTTAGGCTGTGTCTGATGCCCAGATGGGCAGGACCCACAGACCTCACCCACTATCTGCATGGGTAGAGCAAAAGGTGGCTTTCAGGGTGGAGGTTGGGGTCAGGTTGTATTTCTCAGATGGCTTCTCCATGTTTCCTCAATGTTCATATTGTCATCAGATGGGGCTGTCATCAGTAAGCCCCTGCCCTTTTCCCGTCCTCCTTGTTCTGGGTCTGGGGTCAGGAGTTCTCTGGGTTTGATCTCCTGAGATGCTATAGGAGGCATAGTAACACTGGCCTCCTTCTGCTCCACAGGCCTAAGTCTAAGATCCTCTGAGCAGGCAGCCTGGCTAGAAAATGGCTGTGACCTTAGAGGCTCAAGGTCATGAGAAACACCCAGCATAGAGCTAGGTGCTGATGGCAGTGGGCATACACATCTCTTGTTTGCCTAGAAGGGCAGCTCACAGCTGACCCCTGAGAGAGAGAGAGACACACACACACACACAGACACACACACACACACACACACACACACACACACACACACACCCCTCACCCCAGTAGTTCCTTCCTCACATTTCTGCAGTCCTGATAAGGTGCTCATCTATTGGTCAGTTGTTTGCTTGGAGCCCCTTAATAACTCCAGTTGCCTTGGAATGAGACAGTGACCTTTAAGGTTGCCTGGTTAGTTCCTATGGACCTCTGTCTTCCCAGAACCCTCCCACCTTCCCTGTGACTGACCACCACCTTCTTCCTGCTTCTGTTTTTTGTGTTTTTTTTTTTTTGGTAGCACTGACTGGGGTTTGAACTTAGGGTCTCATGCTTGCTAGACAGGTACTCTACCACTTGAGCCACCCCATCAGTTCTTTTTTTTTGTGATGGGTTTTTTCAAGACAGGGTCTCACAAACTATTTTCCCGGGCTGGCTTCAAACCTCGATCTTCCTCATTGCTACCTCCTAAGGAGCTAGGATTACAGGCGTGCAGGCATCTTCTCCCTTCTTTATTAGTAACTCCTCACCAGTGATTCTTAGGGACAGTTTCTCTGGCTCCCCCTGCTAAGCCTGCAGGATACTTCTTAGGTCTTAGGTTCTCATAACTGTTGGGAGTTTCCCTTCTGCAGCCTCTTCACTGTTCATAATTACCACATATTTTAAAGACCATTCATCAGCTTGCTCTCTCCCTCTGAATTGCAGGACAGCTCCAAAAGGGCAGGAGCTATGTCTGTGTTGGCCCCTCTGTATTCTCAGGGTGATGCTTGGTACTTAGCATGTAGTCTTTTTTTTTTTTTTTGGGACTTGAACTCAGGGCTTTGTCCTTACAAAGCAGGAGCTCTACCACTTGAGCCACACCTCCAGTCCATTTTGCTCTGGTTGGTTTGGAGATGGGATCTTACAAACTATTTGCCAGGGCTGCCTCAAACTGCAATTCTCCCAATCTCAGCCTCCCAAGTAGCTAGGATTATAGGCATTAGCCATCAGCACCTGGCTGTAGTCATCTTTTTTTGGAGACAGAATGTAGCCCAGACTGACCTTGAATTTGTGATCTTCTTGTCTTAGCCTCCCAAGTGCTAGGATTATAGACATGAGCAACTACACCTAGCATGCAATACATTTTTCTTTTTCTTTTTTTTATTATTCATTTATTCACATGTGCATACACTGTTTGGGTCATTTCTCCCCCCTGCCCCCCTCTCCCACCCTCCATTTTTCTTAAATAAATAAAATAGATCACGGGTCTTAGAAACTGAGTTTGGATTTTTAAATTCCAGGACTCAGTTCAGTTCAGTTCAACTTGGCACCTACCTGAGGTCCAGCCCTGGTCCACCTGTAGTGGCTTAGCTTTGCCCTGACCCAATTGTGTTTCTCTCCCCAGAAGAGACGGATGATGTGAGTGAAGAAGCCCCAATGAGGGACCGCTCCCACATTGAGAAAACTCTGATGCTGAGTGAGGACAAGCCATCTGATGATTACTCCGGTAACCAGAGGAAGGAGTTGGACTGGGGCAGCTCCATGGCTGGCAGCCAGGCGACAGGGAACCAAGGGCTGTAGCTCTGAGGCCAGAGGTGGGGGGGGACACAGGGAAGAGAGCCCTGGAGGTGGGGGCTGTGAAAGGGGGCAATCCAAGCAGAGGGACCAATGTAAGTGTAGATAGAGGGCAAATCCCAGGGCTACCGACTGTAGGATGGGCCGACCTCCGTCCTCTGGCAGGGAGGATAGTTAATAAGAACTTATCCCATTTACTTTGATTTTTAGTGTACAAAGCTGCTTCATGTCTGGTGTTTCATTTCATCCTCATAATGATCCAAGGATTTCAGCGGGACTGGTTGTCCTCTCTTAACCCATATCTAGGCAAGCTCACGGCAAGCAGTGATTTACTCTTGGCACGCAGCCAGAGAGTGGCAAAGCAATGGCTAGAACCTTGCTAGCCTGACCCTTGGTCCCATGCACACCCAGCCACTCCCAATCATTCTGCTTTCCCAGGAGAACACACAGCATTTCTGGATCCTCCCAGAAGCACTGGGGGTGCAGTAATGGATCAAAGCAAGGTTGGCCATGCTGTGTCTGGGCCTAGGGCAGCACAAGCAGAGATGCACAGCGGAGAAAGACACAGGATTCTGTCTCCCAAAGAAAGGGCCTTCAGTTAGGCTGCAGGATTGGTCAATGTTTCTGGACACACTAATGAGGTGGGGAGGGAGCAGAGAGGTTTCAAAAAGAAAAAAGCACAGGAAGCTTTGCAGGGTGTGTAGGAGAATGTTTTTGGTTTGAGAATTTCTGAGGTTTGGGATGTAGACCAGTTTCCTCCACAAAGTCTCTGGGCTGCAAATGGCCCCTGCTCCCACCAGGCAGGTAGAGCTGTGTGGGTGTGAGATTGCTACACAGTGAAGAACAGCCTAGAGTCTGTCTTGCCTGGCGCTTTCCCCTCACTCCTCTCTGCCCTCAGCGGTGCTGCAGCGGCTGCGGAAGATCTACCATGCATCCATCAAGCCCTTGGAGCAGTCTTACAAGTACAACGAGCTTCGGCAGCATGAAATCACAGGTACAGCAAGAGCTTGAAGTCAGGGTTGCACCTCTGACCCACCTAGACCACCCTGGTGCCCACATGAGCTCACAGGCTCCCCACATGAGATGTGCTTGGATACCAGGGACCAAGCTCTCCTGAGGAGTGGACAGGACAGACACCTCAGTCCTGTGGAGCACACTGTCATGGAGGAGTGCTTAGTACTGTACAAGGGTTTGACAAACAGCATTTCATTGTTAAGCACTCAGTAGCACAGACTTGGATTTCCAAGGCAATGATGCCAATGTGCTCAGGAGCCCTCAAAGGCATCCTGTTCACTTAGGGATCATGTCTGAGTCCTCTGATTGGCTTGAATTCCTCCCTTCATCCTTATTGCTCTTTCTGGGTAGATTCCCTTGGGCCTGAATTCTTACTTTGTTTTGCTTTGTATTTATAGGGATGTGGTATATAGTCCAGGCTGACCTCAAACTCTTAATACTCCTAACTCTGCCTCTCAAGTGCTGGGATTTCAGGTGTGTGAACCACTACACCCTGCTAAGGCCTGAGTTCTTTTAAAAATAGTTTCTTTTTTCTTTTATGCAGCATTGGGGTTTGAACTCAGGGTCTTGCACTTGCTAGGCAGGTGCTCTACCACTTGAGCCACGCTGCAGCCCAGTTTTGCTTTAGTTATTTTACCTTGTGTTTTTGCCAGGGCCTGGACTGGACTGTGAACCTTCTATCTACACCTCCCACATAACTGAGATTATAGGTGTATGCAACCCTGATCTAAAAATTAGTTTTCAAAATGATGAAAATAAGACATATTTGTGCCAAGTATGCACTATTCCTCAAATAGTACAGGATAGTATAAATTGAAAATAAAATTCCTTTCTTTAAAAATTTTTTTAATTTTAATTAGCAAGTAATAGCTGTACAGGGGAATACACTGTGATATTTACATATATGCTTACAATATATCTTAAATTTACCCCCTCCATCCGTTCTCTCTCTTTCCCGCCTTCCCTCTTCTTAGAACTATTTCAACAGGTTTCATTCTTCTGTTTTCATATATGACTGTAAAATACATCCACCATATTCACCCTCATTCACCCTTTCCAAATGCCACCCCCCTCTCATTGGTACCCACCCTCACAAAAGAGCTATACAATTCTATTCTTAATATCCAGCTTCTCTAATTTCATTCCCAGAGACACCTACTGTCACAGTTTCTTGTGAATGCTTCCAGACATTTCCTCTGCATCTGTACACATAGAAAAGTATGTCTTTTTTATACACAGGATCATATTATTCTGACTGTGTGTATGTTTGTGGATATGTGCATACATGCACATGTGTGCATGTATATACATCATGGTGTGTGTGTGCTCACTTGTTTATGCATGTATATGGATGCTGTGTGTGTGTGTGTCATCTGTAGAATTTTCTTTATTCTTCTGGTGGCTACTTGATCCTCTCCTTCATAATGCACCATGCTTTGCATAGCCAGTACCCTCCTGAGGGGCAACAGGGTACTTTCCATTTTCCATCTTTAAAAATGTTTCAAACCACCCTAATCATTGTGTATGTCATGCAAGTATATTTGTAGGTTATGTTTTTAAAGTGTAACACTGGAATTAAACATTTTGAAAGTTGTTGCCAAATTGCCTTCAAGCAGACCAATTTGTACTCATTAGAACCATAAAGGAGAGTTCTTGTTTTCTCATAGCTATGTCATTTTTAAAAGTATTACTCATCATTGCAGTGCTGGGGATGTAACCCAGCCCTTCATACAGGCTAGGAAGGTGCCCTACCACTCAGCAACATCCCTAGCTACTGTTACTCATATTTTAAAGCTTTCACAATGTTTTATAATTCCTTCCTCCCTCCTTCTCTCTGTTCCGGACTCTGGGTGGTACTTTCCGGACTTGGTTCTCTGAACAGCTTCCTGAATGACCTCCTGTCCCTCCAGGCTCATCATTGACCTCCCACATATGTCCACAACGCCCCCTGCTGTGGAGATCTGGAACAGCAGCTCTGGGAAGCCCTGTCTGTGGTCTGTCTCAGAACTTGCAGGTCCAGCACTGGCCTTGGCATTTAGCTGGGCCTGTAAAGAGACTTTCAGTGAAATCTCTGGCTATGCATGAGAACTTCTGCCACTCTCTCAGCCTTCCTCATCCTCCTGCCCCAGCCAGATGGGGGTCTCTCGTGTATTTACAGGCAGGGAAGGAAGGGGTGGGGCTTTTCAGCAATGCATATATGCCATCCACTTACAAGATGTCATCTTTTAGGACTTAACTTCACTCCAGAGAAAGAAAACCAGAGCATCAAAAAGCCAAATACAAAGACAGCGTAATGAAACACGCACTGTTTGATAAAGGCGGGAATGGAAATACAATGGAGGGACTGGACTTGTTCCAGGTACACTGTAGGAATGAATTGGATCATCACAATGAAATCTCCTTGTATTGTTAATGTCATACATAGTGTGGTAGTTCAAAAATCAGATAGAAAATTCTAAAGCCAGGTACAGAAGAGGAAGCATACGGTACTCTCTGTAAAAACAGAGAGGATATGATATCTACAGCACTGCTTATATGTGCATTAAGGTGTCTTTAACAGTTGGATGCCAGTGGCTCACACCTGTAATCCTAGCTACTTAGGAAGCTGAGATCAGGAGAATTGTGGTTCAAGACCAGCCTAGGCAAATAGTTCTCGAGACCCCATCTTCAAAATAATCAGACCAAAATGGACTAGACATGTAGCTCAAGTGGTAAGAGCGCCTGCTTTGTAAGCAGGAAGCCCTGAGTTCAAACTCCAGTCCCACTTAAAAAAAAAAGAAAGCTCTTAATGTGTCAGAAATTAGCACTGGTACCTGGTACAATGGTTAATGTGCATCTCTTCAGGAGGCTGAATGAAGCAGGAGGATTGAGAGTTCTGGTCAGCCCGGGCTACCTAGTGAGACACTGTTTCAAAACAACAGCAAAACTAGAACTCATTTCTCGACTTTTCAGCTAAGATCAAGTGTAGTATCTGTTCTTTTCAGTTTAATATGTGATACATCCTCTATCTGAGGAAGATATCTTAAATGGATTTTTGGAGCAGGGAGCTGGAATAGGAGCTTGTTCAGTTTATTCCATGCATCAACCTGGTATTGCAATACCTCCAGGAACAGTATATCCCCTCCTAGAACTATGGTTGCTATTTTAGAAGATATTCTTTTCTGGACTTACAAGTAAGGCTCAAAAAAAAAAAAAAAAAAGAAAAGAAAAAGAAATCGGCCCTGGTGCCAGGTGCCACAGTGTGCATCTGCAGTCACGGTTCCTCCAGAAGCTGAGGTAGGACGATCACTTGAGCCCAGGAGTTTGGAGACCAGCCTGGGCAACATAGTGAGGCTTTGTCAGAAAAAAATTAGCAGTAGTTACCTATTATAACTATTAGAGAGGATGTTATGGCCCAGAGAAACTGGGGACAAAGATAGTGATGAGTCTTTTCATTATATATATTTTTATACTTCTGACATTTTTTCATTTATTTATTTGCAGTTTGAACTCAGGGCTTTGTGCTTGCTAGGTGTGCTCTACCATTTGAGCCATGCCTTCAGTCCTACTATGGACTTTTTAGCCAAGAAATTAAGTTAGATTATAAGAAATATATGAAAAAGTAGGGTCTACCATTTTAAAGACTATCTGAAGGCTCAGGAAGACAAAGAACTTTGGTGCTCACTTGTGCAGGACTGAGAGTTCAGAGAAGAGCTGAGAAAGCAGAGGTTGCAAATCAGCAACAAGATCAACTGCATCTTGTGTTGAAAGTCTCTTACTCTCCTCTCCCTAGTCGTGCTTTTTCATTTTAATTTTTCATTTTTGCAATACTGAGGATGGAACCCTGGGTCTTGTACATGCTAAGCAAGTGCTCTATCACTGAGCTACACCCTGAGATCTCCTGTACCTTCTTTTGAAAACACTAGAGAACTCTGATTTTTTTCCTTAGGGACCAAGCTGGAGTAACTCAGCCAGTGTATGCTCCCCAGCATGGCCTCTAGAAGGACCAGGGACACAGGGCTCAAGAATCCAAGGACTAGTCTTGAATATAAGGATCAGTGTTTGCTTTTGGACACTGGCTAATTTGACATGTATTTTGGAGCCTAATATTTGAGACCTTAGTGCCTAAGGTTGGGCTGAGTCTGAGGTGGGGATTTGGGGAGTCACAACGAAAAGGAGAGGAGAGGAGAGTTGCAGAGCTGGAGACAGGCAGGGCAGAGTCCAGATAGTCTAAGATTGTGTAAGTTTCTTCCATATCCTTTTTCTCTATTTTTAATCCAGGCAGCAGAAATTAACTCTCTCCATGTGGAAGCTCTGCCCTCCCTTTCTATGAATCATACTCCTTCAGATTTAGCCAGGAGACCTCACCTGGAGTGAGCACTGAGACAGTGATACTTCGCTTAGATCTTCCTCCTGGTGCAGACAGAGGTGCCAAGGATCTGGGTAAAGTCAAAACAGTGACTTTTCAGCCAGGCACCCATAGCTCATGCCTGTGGGAAGCTGAGATTGGGAGAATTACAGTTCGAGGCCAGCCCGGGAAAATAGCTCACAAGACTCTATTTCCAAAATAACCAGAGCAAAATGGACTGGAGGTGTGGCTCAAGTGGTAGAGAACCTGCTTTACAAGCACAAATTCCTGAATTCAAACCCCAGTCCCACTGGAAAAATAATGACTTCTAGTGTTTTAACTAAGAGAATACATTGATCCATGCAGATCTACACGGATCCATGTAGAATCCCACAACTCAGTTGGATGATGGTTGGGAGTGGAGTGCTTTGGAGAATAGAGCCCCTCCTACAGTAAGAATCATAGTTATTTCACTTGTTTCTATTCTTGCTGCCCACAGATGGGGAGATTACTTCCAAACCAATGGTGCTGTTCCTGGGACCGTGGAGTGTTGGCAAGTCCACCATGATAAACTACCTCCTTGGATTGGAAAACACTCGCTACCAGCTCTATACAGGTAAGAGATTTTTTTTTTGATGGCACTAGGATTTGAACTCAGAGCCTCATGTTTGCTAGGCAGGTGCTTTACCACTTGAGCCATGCCTCCAGCCCAAGAATTTATTTTTTATGTGTATAATTGTTAATATTTGAATGTCACATGTGAAAACACTATTAAAAATTAAAACATGTATGAATGTCTTCGAAATAATAATGAAAACTATATTCAGCAAACCAGCAGCCACACTATGCTTGTAACAAGAGCATTATTCGCAGTAGTCAAGAGCAGAAGCCACACAAATGTCCACAGACAGATGAATGGATGACCAAAATGTGGTCTGTGTATACAATGGAATGGTACTCAGTCTTCAGAAGGAATGCTGCATGCTATCAGAATGCATCAGACATACGTGACACATGCCAGCTGTGGGTAAACTTGAAGACATTATGCTAAGTGAAATAAGTCAGGCACAAAAGGACAAATGCTGCAGGATTCCATTCCTCTAAGGAATCTACAAGTAGGAAAGTTCACAGAGACAGAAAGTCGAAGAGAGGTTGCTGGGGGCTGGGGAAGGGAAAAAAGGGGAGGGAGTTTCAGTTTGGAAAGATGAAAAGTTCTGAGATGGATGGTGGTGATGATGGCATATCAATGTCAATGTACTTAATCTCACTGAATTCTACATTTAAATATGGTTAAAATGGTAACTTTTATGTTAATGTGCATTTTACCATAATTATAAAAGAAAAAAGAAGCTGAACTGTGTTCACCTTCTCATGGCTCACACTATAATCCTAGTTATTCAGAAGACAGAGACCGGGAGGGTCTTGGTTGGAGGCTGGCCCAGATAAAGAAAGTCAGCAAGACCAAATCTCAACCAATAAAAAGCTGGGTGTGGTAATGAGCACCTGTCATCCCAGCTATGCAGGCAATGTAAATAGGATGATGGCAGTCCAGGCTGGCTTGGGCATAACAAATAATGAAAAATAACGAGAGCCAAAAGGGCTTAGAGCATGGCTCAAGTGGTAGAGTGCCCGCCTGGCAAGTGTGATACCCGAGTTCAAACCGCAGTTCTGCCAAAAACAAATAAACAAATAAAAGAAGCTACTAGCGTAGCAAACCAAACCTTCCTTCCACATCTTTTGTAGTTGTGTGTCTCACAGAGATCAGTGTTTTCCCACATCTCACTCATACTTGCAGGTGCTGAGCCCACCACCTCTGAGTTCACGGTCCTCATGCACGGGCCCAAGCTGAAAACCATCGAGGGCATTGTCATGGCTGCCGACAGTGCCCGATCCTTCTCACCCCTGGAGAAGTTTGGCCAGAATTTCCTGGAGAAGCTAATTGGCATTGAGGTTCCCCACAAACTTCTGGAGCGGGTCACTTTTGTGGATACACCAGGCATTATTGAGAACCGCAAACAGCAAGAGAGAGGTAATTTAGTGGCCATTTCTAAAGGGCAGGAGCTCTCTTAGAAAACTGTCATCCACAGTGACAGACGGGGGTATGGGAGTGCATGCAGCAGTGTTTTCTGAGGGCAGGAAATGCATTCTTTACTTCCTCCTCTTTCCATTGCTCTGCTGTCACTTGGATTTTGGAGAGCCTAGTTCTCCCACCTTTCTCAAGGACTGATTTAGTTTAGAGATGGCCAGCATTTTCCTAGGGAGAATACCAGGCTTCTTTCCAAGACAGTCTAGAAGTCCAGACTGGAGCTGCAGCTGAGTTGTCCTTGGGAGGCCCAGTCTGTCTTGGCCAGTGAGGGGCCTGGGTTGATGGGATCTCAATCAGGTATATTTGATTTCTGGCTAAACTGGGTCTGGGGCTCCTGGACTTCCTCTGTGTTCCCTTTAACTTTTCTTATGCCCAGTTTCTGCTTTGTCAGTCCTGTTTCAGTCTAAACTTGTGTCAGGCTTTCCAGAACCCTGCTTGTCTCCAGGTGGCAGAGGAATGCCACTTGGGTCTGGCAAGCATGAGGTAATGGCATAGGCTTCTGAATACTGTGGTAACACAGCTTTCTGCATCGATGAGTCCTAAATGGGGTAGTCATAGGACTGTGTGGCCAGACGGCAGGTCTTCGTTTATAGTTATGACTCCTGTTTGGGTTATACCCAAATCCTGTTTTATTAGTAACAATATCATTAGTCATAACTATAGTAACAAATTAATCTTATTGTATCCCCATTGTGTATTGGATAATTTTATACATTATTGGTTTGTCATCGTAAAAAAAATTCAGTGTTTTCAAGATAGGTGTTCCTCATCTCCTCAATTTGTAAATAAGAAAATTAAAGAAATATGAAGCAAAAGGAACTTAAACTAACCCAGGTATCAGTAGTGTATGTCTGTAATCCTAGCTACTTGGGAGACTGAGATGGGTAGGATTTTGTTTCCAGGTCAGCCTGGGCAAAAAAGTTTTTGAGACCCCACTCAATAGAAAGAAGCCAAGCCTTTCATCATCCCAGCAGGGAAGCATAAAATAGGATTGTAGCCTAGGAAAAAAACGAGACCTTATCTTCAAAATAACCAGAGCAGGAAGGGCTAGAGATGTGGCTCAAGCAGAACAGCACCTATGTAGCAAGTAAATTCTTAGTTTAAACCTCAGTACACACACACACACACACACGAACTAAACTATATTAGGCACCCCTATATGACTGGCAGCATTAATTAGGTGCTTTCGTATTTTATAACAACATAGTAATCTTCATGTCAGCTTCTGTATTATTACTCTTCCTGTCATTTTGTAGCATTTACCAACCAGGTGGTCAGTGGCAAACCCCAAATTCTAGTCCAGGTCTTGACACGGTGTCTACATTTCTTTCCCATAAATTAGGCATCCTCTCACATTCTTCCAGTTCTTTGATTTCTTCTTTTAACATCTTTGCCATTGCCCTAGATCTTTTTAGACATTTTGAAAGTCTCCATTTTGAGCAAATATTTTGCTTCTCTGGAGATTTAGATTCCTCTGTAGATTAAAGTAAGGATCAGACTGTTCTTGGTTGAAGGTTGACAAAGGGTAGAAGACATGCAATTCATTTTGCATGCTGTGACTTCTTTCAACATACAAAATGGTCTGGTTCAGAAGGGAGGTTAAGGGCTTTGCATGAACCCCACTCATCTTGACTTCTCATTCCTGTCTCCTCAAGGCTACCCCTTCAATGATGTGTGCCAGTGGTTCATTGACAGAGCCGACCTCATCTTTGTCGTCTTTGACCCCACCAAGCTAGACGTGGGTCTGGAGCTGGAGATGCTCTTCCGTCAGCTGAAGGGACGTGAGTCCCAGATAAGGATCATCCTGAACAAGGCTGACAACCTGGCCACCCAAATGCTCATGCGGGTGTATGGGGCCCTTTTCTGGAGCTTGGCTCCTCTCATCAATGTCACAGAGCCCCCTCGGGTTTACGTCAGCTCCTTCTGGCCACAAGACTATAAACCCGACACTCACTGGGAACTGTTCCTCAAAGAAGAGATCTCGCTCCTGGAAGACCTGAACCAGGTGATCGAGAACAGGTTGGAGAACAAGATCGCATTCATCCGTCAGCATGCCATCCGGGTCCGTATTCACGCCCTCTTGGTTGACCGCTACCTGCAGACTTACAGGGAAAAAATGACCTTCTTCAGTGATGGAGAACTGGTCTTTAAGGACATTGTGGAAGATCCTGATAAATTCTACATCTTCAAGACCATCCTGGCAAAGACCAATGTCAGCAAATTTGACCTTCCCAACCGTGAGGCCTACAAGGACTTCTTTGGCATCAACCCCATTTCCAATTTCAAACTCCTCTCTCAACAGTGCTCTTACATGGGAGGTTGTTTTCTGGAGAAGATTGAGCGGGCCATCACTCAGGAGCTTCCCAGCCTCCTGGGTAGTCTTGGGCTTGGGAAGAATCCAGGTGCTTCCAACTGTGACAAAACAGGGTGTGGCGAGACCCCAAAGAATCGCTACAAGAAGCACTAGGTTGGGTATAGCCTTTCTTTCTCGGGTCCCTGTTGATGAATGAGCTTGTGTCCTAAATGTCTGAGAAGTCCTGGTTTATTAACCCTTTGAGCCACACTGGTGAGGATCAGTGTACATTGGAGAATTGGGAATTCATTGAGGTTGGTGGTGGGGGCAGGTGCATGGATCTGGGGAGGAGAGTGGAAACTGTGAATTATAGTGTGCTTGTCATATTGCTTCAGTGAGGAGGCCTGGGTGAGGCACCCAGGCTTCCTTTGCTTTTCCTGGGTTCTGTCTTGGAGGGACAGAGAGCAGCTAAACTGTAGTGCATATTAATTCATGAAGGTCAAATAAGCTCTATGCAGCTGAAATTCCTTTTTCCCTGGTAAGCTAGGTGAATAGTGTAACCTGAGTAATGGAGCTCTCAAGTCTGTGTCACCTCCTTCCACACATAGTCTTGTTGTTCCCCATCCCTCCTATGCTCTTTCCCAGGCCGAGTCCTTTCAGCAGTGGACAGTCTCTTGGGTTTAAATCTACCAGGGTTTTGAGCCCATCCCTGGAAACTCTTGTTTCCCCAAAAGGTGAAGCAGTGGCTTGCCCACCAGCACACTGGAAGAGGATAAGAGTTCCCAGGTGAGGGTGACGTTCTTCCTCCCCAAGTGCCATTTCTGTGATGTCTCAGCTGGGGAGCTTAGATACTTCACCAGCCCCAAGAGTAAGGTGTATTCGGGTAATTCCCTTCTTAAAACTGATTTACATGAAGGTACTAGAAGGGCTCAGGGGGTTAGTTGGTTTGCAGTGTGTCTTTGTCTATTGCATGTCTTGGAAAATTCAGATCTCAAAGGCGCTGGGTTCAGAGAGGACAACGGAGGCCTTGTCTCTTGTCCCTGGGGACATCTCTGAATAGCCAGCCTCTCCCAAGTTTAGCTATTTCCACAACTTCTCTGTGGAAGCACTTGGCAGAGGAGTTGCCCTTTCCAGTTCCCATTACCATGGCTTTTCCTTTCCTTTCCATTCCCTGATGCACCAACACTTAAAACTCAAGAAAATTTTCCTAGGATCAGAACCAGTCTCAGTCACTCGGTGTTGGTGGCAACCAAAGCCTAAGGCTCATCCCACCTGTGTGTGATGCAGACATCTGCTAAATGCACCACAGGAAAATCAGGGCCTTCAAACACCAGTGGGTGTGAATTTATGTGGACATCACCAGAGAGAGAGATTGGGGAGATGACATACCCAAGGGCACAAAGAAAGGACTCATCGAGAGTCCTGCAAGGCCAGCGTACACTGCCACCTTGGAGGGGTGTGGACATGAACAGCCTTCTGATGGAGCATGCAAGATGAAGTCTCTGTGCATCCAGAAGAGGCCAGGGCTACCTCAAGGGACTCCTTTCAGCACAGCTGGCAGCTCCTTTTGGAAGTAAGCTGTCTTGGAGGCCTTGACTTGGTCTTAGTATCCACCAGCACCAGAAAGTAATCTAGACCAGAGGGAAAGCGGAGAGAAGGCTAAGCCAGACTTACTTCCTCTGAGGATCAGTTAGTATACACGGACTGGTGACCAGTGGGGTTCACATGGACAACCACAACTTAGGAGTTCGCGTTTCTCAGAATTCTTAGCTGTCCAGTGGCTGCTACAAGGGAGACTGCTGCTTTGGGGTCTGTGTAGGGTCTGGTATCTCCCAACACAGAGCCAGAGGCCTCAAAGCTGCCAGGACACTGTTTCCAACGAGCAAGTCAACAGGAAAAGAAAAGTGAGTTCGGTAAGGGCCCATCCATGATGCCTAGTGGCCAGGGCAGATGTGCTGCAATCTGTCTTGGACTTTTCTTCTCATTAAAACAAACAAAAATTCCCTAGCCCCTTCCTCCTTCTCCATCGCTTGCCCTTTTGGGAGACTGTCCTTCCCACCTTTCTTCTTCGTGCTCCTCATGCCTTTGGGCTGCTTTTGGTGTATTTTTTTCTCAATGCAGTCAGGGAAATAAAAAATGTGGAACTGTATGGGCCTTGTCATAGCTTTGGGGGAAGCAGGTGGAATGAGGCTAATAAATTCAAGCAATATTTGTATTTTGGGGAGTGCACCTTGTTAGTTTGCCCCCTCTGGATTTTTCCTTTCTCCATTTCTTTTCTTTTTCTCTCTTCGTTCTGTTCTTCTTCTCACATGCTGACTAACCTTTCCTATACTGTCCGTAGGCCTATTGATCTCTCAGCACAGGTTCTCGGACCTTTTCTCTGCCCAGCTCTGTGCAGATGGATTTCAAGCAGAATTCTGAGTCTTTGGGACAGGGGGCTGGGAACTAGAGATTCCCCAAAAGGAGTACCTTTGAATGTCTGTGCCAGATCAGTAGCTGACCCTTTCCAGTGTTCTTTCCATTCTGATTTCAGCAGGAAGAACGTCTCAATAAAGTTCCAGTCTCTCTTTAATACCGTGTCCTTCCTGATTGTCTCCAGCCGGGTGATCCTCTTATTTTCCTTTTATCTGGAAGAGCATAGTCATTTTCAAGCTTGTTTGAGGTAGGACGGAAGTTTATAAATTGCTTGCTCTTCTTTTGGATGTTTTCTGACACCTTCTTTTGCTAGCTCCTTCCTGCTTTAGCCTGCCAGGTGTTGAAGAGGAGTCACTGTCCCCGCTGGCCATAAAGCCACAGCCCTCTTTTGTGTAGTAGGAAACCTGAAGAAGTACTCTCTCTCCTCAGCACCTCACTCCATCATTTTCTCTGGCATCCAGGGTGGCAGCGCTGTCACATGGGGGTTATTTGAAACTTTTGTCCCCAGATCCCTCACAGAGGTGGCTCAGGCTATAATACCATTTGGCTTACAGCCTCCACAGCATAGTTGCCTCATGACCCCCAGGCTCCAGGTTCCATTCCGGCTTAAGGTCTGCAGGAATGGTAGGGATGATCATCTGCCCTGGCTACTCCAGAAAGTGAGCACCCCTCTACCTGGTGAAGGTGTGCCTCCTGCTTGTACCTGTCTGTAGAGATGCAGAATGCATCCCCGACTCCCTGAGCTGGCGCCCTTTCCACGACATTTCCTTGTTTCTGGCGTCCTGTTTAGAGCAGGGCTTCTTTAATTTTGAAGTTCTCCTTGAGGAAACTTCAAGAAGTTTCACACCATGGCATGAAGGTCAGTTTGAAAGGAAAAGAACTGGGTCCTGGGAAGGAGGTGGAGGTTGGAAAGAATGAAAAAGGAAGAACAAGACCTGCAGACCCAGGCCACCACCCATGCAGTCATGTGAGAGAGGGTGCCAGATTTAGTGGCTGTGGCAGACGTCTCTGGGTTCCCCCAGCTTGGGAGGGGCTGATTTTATTGCTGAGTGAGCAAACAAGGGCCATGCTCTTCCTTGCCCACCTCCTGACTAGGAGAAGGCTGTGGTCCACAGCCCACAGTCTTGAACAGCTGAGCAACCTTACCTAAGTAAGGCCTTGCCTGTTTGCTCACCCCCTCCAGTCTCTTTCCCACCCAGAAAAATAGAGGTTTTCCTCGGAAGAGGGAAGGCAGGTGAGGTCTGTTTTGAAAAGACAGACATATGCCAGATCCTGCTTCAAAATACGCTGTTTTACAGCCTCATACCCCCTACCACCTTTCTCTCTTATTGTGAGGGAAACAAACAGAAAACAGGGGGAGCAAAATCAAAGACTGTTCTAAACATTGCCAGGTAATAGGAGGGTTGAGAATGGAAAGTGTCTTTAAGGGCATGTGTAGGTATCATCTGGACATTACATGTGGTTATACATAGGATGGGTGTGCAAACACATGCATGTGAAGTCTGTGTGTGCAGAAGCAGACACAACGTGTGCAGAAGCAGATGCACATGTGCAATTTTGTGGCCAAATGATGTCCAGGTTCCTAGCACAGCGCCTGATGCATGGGAGCGCTTCACCTGTGCACCACTGAAATGAAAATGTGGGCATTGGAGGAATAAAGAAGGTGACTATGTTTTTTGTTTCATTTTTTTCTTTTGAGATCTTGCTATATAGTCCAACCTGGCCTCGAACTTGTGGTTCTCCCTCCTGCCTTGGTCTTTTGAGTACTGGGATTACAGGTGTGCACCACCACACCTGGCTTGGCTGTATGGTTTGTGTTGTGTGTAGATGGTCTTGGGGGAGAAGTATGTCTGGGGTTGGTAAGTGGCTGTGCTTGTGATGGAGTAATTATGTGAGTGTGTGGGAGTGGATTACAGATTATGGAAGAACATGTGTAGGCAGATGTGTGTAAGGTGAACCTGGATGGCCCACCCAGAGTGGAGATCCAGGAAGAGGTAGCAGTGGGAGGACATCTTGCCAGTCCCTGGCTTTGTAGCTGTGTCTTACCCCAGTGTTAGAAAACTCAAATACTGGCAACATTTCATGCCAGTTCTACCTTCTGTGACATTAGGCTCAAGCTTTTCCCAACCTAGGGAAATCTTAATTTTTCTCTATAGAGGACCATAAAGGCAATAAAAAAGAAACATTAGAGAAAAAGAAACTGAAAGTAATAACACAAGGCTGTCTGTAGGAAAGGTGTTTTCCACAAGTTGTGCCCACCTCTCATCCTAAGGATAAACTACCATGTACAAAGGGGCATTTTCTGTACCTGCTTGCACTATGGAGCATGTTACCTAATTTCCCACACTGTTTGTAGGAAAGGGAAGCAGTTTTCAAGCACTTCCTTTGTGTCAGGAACTGGGCTTCAGGCCTATAGGCATTATCACAATTACACCTAAGAATGGTGGAATGATCAGAATGGCTGCTACACTGGGGCTTTCTGTGCATTATTTCCTTTAAGCTGTACAATAACCCCATCGGGAGGTAGCTGGCTAGCACAGTTAAGAGAACAGACTGGAATCAGATTGTTGATCCTGGGCTTCCTCATTTGCTTGGCTTAGATAAATGACTAAACGTTCTCACTTTCCTTATTCAGAAAACGGAGATACTGATGGTTCCTCCCTCATGGGATTGTTGATTGTTGTGGGGATTAAATGATTTGCTATGTGCAATGTGCTTAGAACAGTACCCAGCTCACATTCAGAGAGAGCATTCAGTCACTATCAGTTGTTATTACTGTTGTCATTCATGTTTTACCAACGAGACTGATGGCCACAGTGATTGGGATGAGGGCATATTTACATATGGGAGGGCCAGGATTCTACCCAATACCTGACTCTTCCTCTGTGTAATGCTAGGTTACTTGCTCAGGGTTTTTAGGTGACACTGTATCTTTCTGACCCAAGTCTTTCCCCCTTCTTCACAAACTGGCAGATTCAGAATTGCCTCATTTTTTTTTTTTTTTAATGATCAGTTAACATTTTGAATCTTGGTAAGTTAAAAAATTTAAAATATTGAAAAGTAACTTTCATCAGAAAATTAATTTGAGGACTGTTTCCTGAAAAAATACTTACAGGAATGATAAATCTTAACCTCATTGCATATTTTATCCTCCCTGTGATCATGTATAGTAGATGTAGGCAGGTATATTTATTATCCCTAAATCCAAATCCAAGGAGAAAACTGTACCTCCAGAGAAGTCCAGAAAGTTCTGCCCAAGTTCCTTCAAGAAATACATGAAAAGTAATACATGAAAAACCAAACCAAATGGCAATTTTCTTATTTTCTACCCATTCCAATATTTTTCAACTATACGTGTATGTGTATATTTTTTTTGAGGCAGGGCCTCACTATGTAGCCCAGGCTGGCCTCTAACTTGACTCTTCTCTCTCAGCCTCCACAGTGCTCTAGTTGTAAGCATCTGCCTCCGTGCCTGAATCTACTAAGTCCTATTAGTAAACAGATAATTCTATCATTTTACTAAATTCTGATTTGCGCTAATCTGCAGTCTAAACTTGTGATGCCAATATAATTTTCTCACACATTAAAAAAAGTGATTTTGGGGCTGATGGAGTGGCTCAAGTGGTAAGAGCGCCTGCCTAGCAAGTGTGAGGCCCTGAGGTCAAACCCCAGTGCTGACAAAAACACAACAAAAAAGTGATTTTGTAGTTGTGAAAAGTGCAAAAATATTTGTTATATTTCCATTTTCTTAACACAATTTCAAAAGATTTGGAAGTTTTGTATATTTGTTAAAGGCATGGTTTCCCCTCTGGGGGAAGTAGCCATCTATATTTTATATAAAAGGATACAAGCTACAGGAAGGGGGCTGATTAGGGAAGTCCATCGGGATAAAGTAACATTTTCCAAACCCCAAATCAGAATACATGGTCAGACATAAGATTTACTTTCTCGTTTGTATATTTGTTTATTTGTTTTCAGGTGAAGTCTTGCTATATTGCCCAGGCTAGTCTCAAACTCCTGGACTCAAGTGACTCTCATGCCTCAGCCTCCTAAGTGCTTTTTCTTTTCTTTTCTTTTTTTGTGGTACTGGGGCCTAAACTCAGAGCCTACACCTTGAGCCACTCCACCAGCCCTTTTTTGTCAAGGGTATTTTCAAGATAGGGTCTTGCAAACTATTTGTCTGGGTTGGTTTCAAACAACGATCCTCCCAATCTCTGCCTCCTGAGTAGGTATAGGTGTGAGCCATCAGTGCCTAGTGTGCTATTTTATTTGAAAAGGATCAAAGCATATAAATTGTTAAATTTATTTAAACAGTAATTGATTACCTCTGCTGAGAAGACTCTATTTACAACATCAAGACTTCTCAGAGAATATCAGAATAGCAGAGTGAGGTGGTTCACACCTGAAATCCCAGCTACTTGGGAGGCAGAGATAGGAGGACTGACGTTTGTGGCCAGTCTGGGCAAAAAGTTAGTGAGATGCTCTCTCAAAGAACAAGCCAGGCTGGGCCTGGTAGCTTACACCTGTAATCCTAGCTACTTAGGAGGCCAAGATCTGGCGGGTCCCAGTTAGAGGACAGCCATGGCAAAAAAAAAAAAAAGTTTGAAAGACCCTGTCTCAACCAATAAAAGCTAGATGTGATGGTACCCACCTGTCATCCCAGCTTCCCAGAAAGCATAAATGGGAGGATCTCAGTCAGACCCTACCTGAAAAAGAAACTAAAGCAAAAAGGGCTGAGAGTGTGGCTTGAGTGGGAGTGCCATGCGTTCAAACCTCAGTACTGCCAAAACCCAAAAAACAAAGAGCCAGTGCTGGTGGCTCATGCCGGTAATCCTAGCTACTTAGGAGGCAGAGATCAGGAGGATCGTGGGTCAAAGCCAGCCCAGGCAAACAGTTCACAAGACCCTATCTCAAAAAAACCCATCACAAAAAAGGGCTGGTGGAGTGGCTCAAGGTGTAGGCCCTGAGTTCAAACTCCAGTACTGCAAACAACAACAACAAAAAACCAACAAACTTGGAGAGGGAGTAGAATTTTAGTTACACTTTTAAGAGACAGACAAGTTCAGCAAGTCCCAGACTAGGGAGATGGATCCTGGGTAAGATCAAGAGTTTACACTTGTGAAGAGGTAGAACTCTGTGTGTGGCAGTGATAAGGCA